TCGATTTTTCAGCTCTATTTGCAAGTATAACAAGAAAACAAGCCTAGGCTCTGATACCACTGTTGGGTTATGAGCATTCTAACACTCCTAAGTGTACATGCAACCCTAAATACCTTGGATCTATGTTTTCTCTATTATACATGCAAATATGAACATCCAAGGTATTATCCTAATCTAGCATACAAAACAATGGATATAACAAGATAGAATACATACATTTTCATGTAGAAAGTCTTCATGAAGCTTGAGTGCCTAGTGCCCCAAGTGTGATACCTCAAATGGTTCACACAACACCAAATACACTTGGAATAACTTGAGAGAATTCTACACTTCATGAAATCGGCTAGCCCTCTCTAGAATGATACTAGTGGCCGATTTTGTCAAGAATAAGATCTTTATATAGTGTTACAATTAGGGTAAACCCTAATTGTCATGACCTTCCATTTCCTTGGATCCATGGGTTCAAATACACAATGGAGCATCCATGGAGCATCATATGGGTTTTGGCCCAACTAGATAATCCATGGAGCATTAGCCCACTATATAAGTATGGATGATTTACACAATCAACCCATATATTTAATTAGTCTTCTTTTGATCACTTAATTAATCCTAGATTAATTCTTGATCAATACTAATTAAATAATCTTATTATTCTTATTATTAATATACTAGAACTTATAATATATTAATAACCATAAGTGTCTTCTTTCTCTCATTATAGTATTATCCAAATGCATGATGCCATGTAACCCAAATGGACCATGCCGGGTCGGGTCAAGTCTTACCAATTATAGTTATGGACTTAGACATTAATCCAACAGATATTTGGTACCAATGGCATTCTCAATTACCGAATCTCGAATCCTAAAATCTTCATCGGAGTATATGATATGAATGGCTTTCTCTATTGATTCCAGTGTTGTTGATGAGCTGGAATGGCCTTCGATATGTTTCACTAGTTTTCCATTTAGTTCGTATAGCTTTTGAATTACGGATTCTACTTCCATGAGTTGGCCTTTCAACATCTCGCATTCGATAATTGCTTTTCTTCTTCAGCTGTTTCCGATTATCTCGACTTTTCGTTTTAGATCCTCGATTGTGATTTGAAGGTTTGTAAGCTTTTGAACATTGGGATTCAGTCTTTCCAATACTTTTCTTTTGTTTCTATCGTCCCCCCGGAATCTCTTCGACACCTCTAGTTTCTCTATCTCCATCACTGCGTTTGATTCCGATTCGAGAGTTTCGAGAGATGCCTCGGAGGCATTCAAATGGTGTCAGAATTTACCATTTTTATCGGCATTCTCCCATGCCTCGCCTTCGATGGGTCCTCTTTTACTCACCCCATATGAGGAACATTTCGATGATTGATCCAACATGATTTATCTTAGAGCTGTAGACCAAGTGTTTGATGAAATGGCTGAAGGAGATTGCCTTTTCTGTTTTGCCTTCTTCTACATGCAGGTAATGATTTATCCCTATTTTGATCATGAGTGATAATATGTGTGCTGTTTGGCTTATTTAAGATGTGTTCTACATCATACATCGATTGGAAATTGAGGTACTCTTTTTACTAATGTTATTAAGTTTTATTCAGAAACCTCTCTGGCTTAAACTGCTCAGCATCCTCCCAGACTGAAGGATCTCTCCCATTGCCTAATCATTAGTAATCACTTGCATGCCTGCTGGAATGTCATACCCCATTAATTTGACATATTCTGTTGATTTTCGAGAAATAAGTAGCGGGAGTGGAATGTGCAACCGGAGAGTCTCTTTGAGGACAGCATGTAAGTAATGCATTTTTATATGAGTTGAGTTCTTACTAATGTTAATAAGTATCTAAAACATGGTTATTAAGTGTAGCTTGTTTTGGTAAATGGCATAGGGGACAAAGATACCCTTAGTTTAATGTGAGTTGTTTTGTCCATGACAGGAACATGCAGGGACCCCTTAAGGCCTGAAAACAGTTATAGTATCGCGAAGCAAAAGAACCTAGATGCATCATATGTAGTGTAGTTTTTCTTTTCAGTTTTGAGTTAAGTAACTTAGATTCTTTAATTCAACCAATAAATATCATATTCAATTAGTAACTTCGATTTTTTAATTCAACCCAAATTTAAACTTAGCATGGAAATGCGTTCTACATCACAAATGAACATATGAATTAATTACATGTGAATCACATCACATATGAATCACATGTAATTCACATGTGAATCACACATGAATTATATGTGATTCACATGTAAATCACATATGAATTATATGTGATTCACATGTAAATCACATATGAATTATATGTGATTCACATGTAAATCACATATGAATGAATCACATGTAAATCACAAGTGAACCATATATGAATTATATGTGATTCACATGTAAATCATATATAAATTACATGTGATTCACATGTAAATCACAAATTAATCACATATGAATTACATGTGAATCACATGTAATTCACATGTAAATCACACATGAATTATATGTGATTCACATGTAAATCACATATGAATTACATGTGATTCACATGTAAATTACAAGTGAATTACATATGATTCACATATAAATCACAAGTGAATCATGAATTACATCTATATTCACAAATGCATTTTGCGTGTTATAAATTTCACATTTATATACATATGCATTTTTGTGAGTGTTCTTGCATTGATCATTTTTTTTTAAATTTTCTTTTAGATTTGGAAAAATTTGTGGAAAATATTGAAGATGTGAAAAGTGATAAATTGAAGAAAATATGAAAATCTTTACACGAAAACATGAAAACATTTTGAAAATTTCTAGCATTTTTTAATTTTTATATTTTATTTTGTATTGAATAAAATATTTGTATTATTGTGTTTATAGTTTAGTAATAAAAAAGGGTTTATTTAAATGATTTACTTATGAATATTATAGTATAAGAAATATGCATATACACACCTAAAATGTTGATTGTTTGGTTAAAAAAGTTTTAGTTATTATTATTATTTTCTTAATATTTTAGTTTTTTTAAACTACTTTTTTGTTAAATTATTGTTTTTTTATTAAAAAATGCAGTTTTTCTTTTTCTTTTTTTTTTTTTCGAAAAAACTGCAGTTTTCTTACAAAAAGTTGCAGTTTTTTTGAAAAAAAATGCAGTTTTTTTTTAAATTGCAGTTTTTTACAAAAAAATAATTTTTCATATTTTTTTCAAAAAGACATGTTTCTATAAAAAATAAAAAATCTGCATTTAAAACAAAACGAAAAATACTATTTTAAAAAAAATCTGAAATTTTGATTTATGATGTAAAATTTTAGATATTTATATTAATATATTAAATAACACAAAAAAATTAAACATTAAAGGAGATTAGTAAGATGATGATCATGTACTTAACGAATTACTTATGATCTAATGCTCCACATTTAGTTGTGGAGTGTTGGATCAAAATTAATTCGTTAAGGATATGATCATAATCTTACCAATATCATTTAATGTTTAATTTTTTGTGTTATTGAATATATTAATATAAATGTTTAAAAACTTACATTATAAACTAAATTTTCATATTTTTTAAAAAAATAGTATTTTTTGATTTTTTTTAAATGCAGATTTTTTTATAGAAAACATGAATTTTTAAAAAAAAATTGAAAAAAATATTTTTTAAAAAAACTGCAATATTTTCAAAAAACTGAATTTTTTTAAAAGAAAATTGCATTTTTTCAAAAAAAAAAAAAAAACTATAATTTTTTTTAAAAAAAACTGCATTTAAAAAAAATGCAATTATTTAAAAAAAACTGCATTTTTTTTCAAAAAAAAAAACTATAATTTTTAAAAGAAAACTGGCATAATTGTAAATCTCAATTATTTTAATGATATACTAGACTTTTTAAAAATGATGAGAGGGGTATATTGGGCATAAAATATATAATATCCTAATAATCAATTTAATTAATTAATAAAACTTATTTTCTCTTTTTTACTCATAGACTTTATTTCTCTTTCACTCTATCTGTCTCTTTCTCACACACCACACACAAATCTCCATTCTTCACCGCTCCGCCATTGCGAGGTGTCACTTCTGCCGGTGAAAATATCGATGAGAGACAGAGAAATCTCTCATTCATAGAAGGTTTGATCAAGCTCAAACATAATATCATGTACGATTCATATCATTTGTTAATTGTGCTTCTAATTCTTGATCGTGTTCATTTGTGAATTGTTATTCTTAATCAATTTAATTTGTTCATCGTGTTTCTCATCAGAATCACATTTTCTTTCTTGATTCGTGAATTAATCTAGATTAATTGATATGTTCTTTATTATCGTGATTCTAAATACTTTATGAACGATATCACCGTTGAATCATGTTGTTGTTCTTCATTGTTAAAATTGTTATGATCGAACTCTGATTTGAATATAATCCATTCGATTTAGCTCTCAATTTCAATGGTTAAATTCAATTGCATAGTCTCATCATTCACATTTAGAAATCTATCATTCCTTCCTCTTGTCATCACCTCGCCTTCTGATGTTGTCGCCTAATCCCCTATTGATCGCCTGGTTCTCATGGTGCTTGTGTCGATAGATTGAGGTAAGTCAAATGCGAAAGATTACCATTCCTCATTGGAACTCTCTCTCTCTCTCTCTCTCTCTCTCTCTCTCTCCCTCTATCATGTACATATATCCTCATCACTCTCTTTCAGATCTAGATCCATAATTAATTCAAAAATTCATCGTCACTGATCATCAATCGATGTGAAGATGTGAACTCCGACGATCGAGATTAATCCTGGTTATTAGGATGCCAAAAGACTTCAACTTTAATCTCTATTTCTATCTCTTCACCATTAAACCACGTACTCCTAATCAACTGTGGTTGTGAAATCACACTAAGGATAGAAATCGCACAAACAAACTCAAAGTAGATCCATTTCCATCCAGAATCAGGTACATTCATCTAAATCTATGTAGGGAATATTGGACACCTGATAAGCCAACTGATCGATTAGAAATGGCACGGGCTTTTCAAAATTTATATGTGTCTACTCTCAACTCTCAAGCATCTTTGCTTTCTTTTGGGATGATACTTACCATTTTGTCCTTGCCTCGGACTGCTAATGTTGCTTGGAACATGGGGGAGTGGGATCAGATGACTGAGTATGTATCTAAATTGGATGATGGTGATGAAACTAAACTCATGGTGTTAGGGAACATCAATGCCATAGGTGATTGTGCCAACAATGAGACATTCTTCAGGGTGGTTCTATTAGTTCGTAAAGGAAAGGTAATTTTAGAATCTGGATTTCTTCACTTTTAATTGTACGTTTGAATATCTTTTAACATTTTTTGATTTTAATCATTTTACATTACAATAAAGCGTGTGAATATATTGAAAGAGCAAGGAAGTGTTTGGCAACTTAGCTTGTTGTTTTGGTTCGTTTCCAATTTCCAATATTAAACCATAAACCATAAAGTCTTTCAGCCTTAATCCTTCAGTATGTTGACTATCTTATAATGTGTAGATTATTGAGACTAATGAATGAGCCTACATCAATATGGTTCGTATATAATAGCTATCAATTGTTGACTTTATTATGGTTGAAGGAAGAGTACCTGTCATCTATGTTTCTCATGGTCCATTGAGTAAGAGCGACACTCTAGCTTCTAAGATTATCAAAACCCTAAAAAAGATGAAGTCAATTAAGGAAGTTAAATAGAAGATTATGTAATGTGATGTGATGAGTTAATTTAGTATACAAGAAGAATTACCAGCATAAATGTGCATCCACTAGGGTCATTAGTTAAAACCCTCACCTTTGAAAGATACTTCAACTTGTATAATTTTGCAGGCTAAACATAGTTTTAAAAATAAAAATAAAAATAAAAATAAAAATACATTTCAAACAACAAAAGCATAAAACTTATCCTATAAATGAAAATGGTGTCTACGAATTTAGGTAGAACAAGATTAAGAGGAAGAAGGAAAAGCATATTCGTTTTTTGAGCATATTTATAGGGTTGAATTAAAAAAAATACCTGGCCAAAGGCAAAAATAGGAACCAAAGGGGAATTGGTCTCCATTACAAGGCGTATGAGTCCTTTTATTGCCTTTAAAAAGGCAACCTGTATAGATATACAAATAAATATGTATAACTTAAACCCATGGTAATTTTTTCATCAAGTGGAATATTATTACATAAATACTACATAAAATGATGAAAAAGAAACCACAAAATCATGGTTCATGTGAAATACCTCTTGTACTCCACCTGGGATGATTATGTAGCTACACCCTGATTTTAAAAGAGATGAAAAGTTTTTTTAATTGGTGATTTTACTTTATTTCTTGTTCATTATATGGTTGTGGGTTTAGGGTAGAATCATTTATTCGACTGCATTTTTAATCATAATTATATAAGTATTATATTTATATAAGTATAAAACTATTTAAACATGTTAAACAAAAACAATATTTTTGCAATCTTTTTTAGTATCATTTGGATGTAAATGTTAAATTTCACGAAACATCTTTATCACGGATTTTACGATTCAAACTTGCAAAATTGTCAACAATACAATTGTTTTTCATTTTAGTAGAACACACACATATAATCTATAATAGGTATAGTTTATGGAACTTACATATCATTTTACCGAGTTCGAGATACATTACGGAAAACAAACATATAAACTATAATAGGTATAGTTTATGGATCATATGCACTATTTTACCAAGTTCAGAATACATTACGGAAAACAAAGATATAAACTATAATAGATATAGTTTATGAAATATACATACAATTGTTCATTAGAAAGTGACTTTTAATTATTCTACACGTAACCGACAATATAGCTTTGTGAGACATACTTCATGTACTTATCCAAGTACCAACAAAAGCCCTAAAGTTATAACCAGACTCTCCTGGATGGAGAGTGGGAGAGTGTGACACTTGTGTATAGATCTATACGAAACTAACAATCCCGCACCTAAACTGTTAGCTACAGTTAGGCCGATAGGCCTGGGGTGACAAATGTCGTACCGATTCCGATGCTTGAAGAACGTCGTATTTAGGCCATCTTAGGTTATCAAGCATGGTTATGATAACTCAGAATTTGGTATTGAACAATACGATTAGTGTACGAATACGTATATAACTTCACATATATACTTTTATTAAATAATAAAACTACAATGCAGTATTTTAAAATACAGTTGGTGGATCCAGGTACATACATTCAAAAAATACATACAAGTACAACTACAATATACTATTTTCCAATACAAGAGAAACTTACATTTCTAGAAACATTCACATGGTTTTATGTGAATTAAAACTACTTCATACTATTTCAGAGTACAACAACATTTACACGTTTTGGTCTTAGGGTATTAAGACTACAATACATTTACAACAGAAGATATAGGATTTTCTAGAAGAACACACTTACAGTTTAAATGAACAAATGGCAGTTTTCAGTTACAAACATGGTTATGAACTCACCAACTTAATTGTTGACACTCTTTTCAAAACCACTTGTATTCTCATGAAATCAGTAGATAGGTACCTACACAGGTTTTGAGAAGGCGGAGCTTCATAAAATCATATCTTTTGGTTTTTGCTATATATTTTGGTGTCAAGAATACATTGTTGTGAACACAGATTTAAAAAACTATACATTATCAATATCATGGTTGTTGTACTTTGATTATTATTATACAATTGTTGTGATACTGTACATGATGTGATCTGCCCCCGAACTTTTCCATCGTTCCGGTTTGGGGGGTGTGACAGCCATTTCATCATAGTATTTAGTATATATAAACATATCAACCTATATAAACATATATGTGTATGGTTTTCAATATCTATGCATTGTTTTTAATATATATGTAGATATAACTTATATAAGTATGGTTTTCAAAGTATGCTCATATAATAATTTATATTAGCATGCCATTATGGCATTCAAAGTTCTTGTTGTATCATTGTTAGGATGTGAATTCACTTGTATACGGTTGTAGTTTAGACTTTTATTTGAACAAGTTTGACTTACATTGACTTGAAATAACGAGTTCTTACAGTTTTCGAATGATTTAAAAAGTTTTAAATTGGCATGGTTAATGGGTGTTACATAATCAAATGTGATTATATGTACCTAATAACATATGATTTATGCAGACAAGATTCATTATTTCTTTCTCAATTCAATAGTTGTACTAATGTACTTAATCACGTGTGATTATATGTATCAAATCACATATGATTTATATTGATAATATTCGTTTTTGCATTTTTGATTCAATCTTTTCTTATGTATTTAATCACATATGATTAATGTGGAAAAAGAAAAACTATTGAATCGAAAACACGAAAATGAATCTTGTGTACAGAAATCATATATGACTAAATGTACAAGAACAAGTGTTGAACAAGAATGCGAAAGCAAATATTGTCTATATAAATGATATCTGATTAGATATATATAATCTAATGTAATTAAATACACAAGAACAACAAATGAATCGAGAACGCGAAAATGAATATTTTCCATATAAATTCAATATGATTAGATACATATAATCACATGTGATTATATATATACATTTAATCACATATGATAATTATGGAAAATATATATCTTTGTGTTCTCGATTCAATAGTTGTTATCGTGTATATAATCATATGTGATTATATGTATCTAATCACATATGATTTATATAGGCATCATTATTTTTGTGCATATAAATTATATGTGATTAGATACATATAATTACATGTGATTATATGTATTTAATTACATATGATTACAGTTTACAAAGAACAATTATTGAATGGAGAATGTGACAATGAATCGTATTCACATAAATCATATATGATTGGATACATATAATCACATGTGATTACATGTATTTAATCAGATATGATTTATGTATACAATATTTATTTTTGCGGTTTCAATGAATAATTGCTTTTGTGTATACAATCATATATGATTTGGGGTGGACAAGATTCATTTTTGTGTTCTCGATTCAATAGTTGTGGGCATGTACTTAATCACATACGATTACATGTATAGTATATGTGATAAAATACATGAAAACAACTATTGAATCGACAAGAGAAAATGAATTGTGTCCACATAAATCGTATGTGATTAGATTCATATAATCACATGTGATTAGATGTATTTAATCACATATGATTAATTTGGATAGAGATTTGTTTTCGTGTTCTTGGTTTAATATTTGTTATCATGTATATAATTACATGTGATTGTATGTATCTAATCAAATATGATTTATATAGATACGATTCGGTTTTTCCAAATAAAATCATATGTGATTAGAAAAATATAATCACAACTGATTAAATGTATTTAATCATATATGTTTAAAGTGGAAAAAAAACAATTATTGAATCGAGAACGCGAAAATGAATCTTAGCCACAAATAATATGTGATTACGTATACATACCAAGAGACTTATTGTAACTCACCTACTTGAACTTGAAAATCAGGTAGCATGAGCAAGATAGATCATTTTCTTTTCAAGAACCTACACACAATTATAACATTATTTAACTTGTGCTTTGTTGTATTACTCTTATGAAACTTATGCATATATTTTCTTATTTTCTCTTTGATTGTAGTACTCTTTTTGGGATATGTTTTCTTACCTTTCAACCCATTCTTAAATTTTGATAAAATAATGTTGGTAAATTTCTCCCTTTATATTTTCGTAAATATAAATATATCGTTCTAATGATTTTTGGTTGATTTTATATTAAATTTACAAGTTAGTAACTTTAAGCTGTCACTTTCTGGACCACTCAACACTTTTGGAATAAACTGTACCAATCTACTTACATCAGTCCCTTTATATGTAAGAAAATATACATTCATATCTAACTATAGAATTTGGAATTTTGTTATTTGGAGTTCTAATGAATTTAATATGATTTTTTGAAGACAATGCATGAAATATTTCCAAAAAAATAAGTCTCATGATTTTTAGGTGTTTTTATTGACTTACACAAATTTTAGAAGTCAGAGGATAGATTTGGAAAAATTGATCATAATAGCTTTTAAATCACTTTTGATGCTCTATTAAGGACTTAATGGTTAAGCCTGAAGTTTATCACTTTTTATATGATTATTGGTTATTTATTAGGCTACTGATATGTGAAATTCAATTTAACCTAAGGGCCTTAATGAATGCATATTTATAGACATTCTTTATTTTGTGAACAGAAGCTATTTAGTATATTAGTTCCTCGCCCATAGCAATAAGAGAAACTTCTATAAGATGGACC